CCTCCAGATGACAGAATTAGTTGTTTTACATGTTAGACAGAATGGTTTTTCTCCAAGTGGCATTTTGCTGAAAAAAACCCACACTACATTGGACAGAAATCCTGGTTTTTGTTAGTGATAACTACCGCATAATGTAGTATTAAAGTGTGCCCTCTGTATTCTCGGCATTACATCTGTCGTTGCCAACCCCTCACCTAGACAGGTGTCACTCTGCATATGTAGTGACTGTTTGGGTAGGTAGAGCACTGTAGACTCCTTCCCCACATTAAGTGTGGGTTGGGTCTACCAGAGAATACCTACCCAAACAGTGCTCTCCCACTTGTCCTCCCCACTCTAGCTCTGATTTTTTGAGTCGCTTTCGAAAAGGACAATCATGGCGGCAAGGCCGTGCTGCATTGTTGGAGGTCAGAGTGCACCACAGATGATCAAATCTTTTCAGCGAATGAATAATAGGCACATGGAAAATTTGCATATGTAGTGACTGGGTAGGTATTCTCTAGTAGACCCAACCCACACTTAATGTGGGGAAGGAATTATAATTGCAGATGACAGTGACCTATTCTATAGTCACCCAGATGTCAACACTCTTTATGAAAATGTTAATTGTGAGCTTATCTAGGTTTCAAACTGGCCTAAAGCAAGCAGATTGTCTTTTAATATAAAAAACACTAACTGCATGCTGTTTAGTAAAGCAACGTCATGAAGTACCTGAAATCATTATTGATGACATGCAAATTGATAAAACTGCTTGTGTCAAATTATTAGGTCTGTATATTGAACAGACTCTCTTATGGAAAACCAAATTAATAATATTTGCACGATTATTTCTAATTATGTAGGAATATATGTAAATTAAAGCCTTTTTCCCCTCAAGATGTATTATTTAAACTTTACAATACATACTTTAATTTTACCTTATTTAACGTTTGGGATGTTACCCTCCGGTAATTGTTGAATTGGTTTAATCAGTAGAATACTAAAACTACAAAAAAGTTTTAAGAATAGTCCACTCTGCCACTTACCTTGAACATAGTAACCCTCTCTTTTATATGTATAAAACTCCCAAACTATGATATACATTGTATATGCCCTTCAACGTGGTACCCCCGTGCATCAATTAAACAATTAAAGATTACCTAAATCCATTTGGTCTATGTTTATCAAAAGTGAAAAAGTGCACCACTACTTCAGCAGACAGCGCAAGAAACTTCATTCTTTTGCACGCACCACTCTCACAAAATACAGTTGAGCATGGCGGGTCCCAAGCTGTGTAATTCTTCAGATGACTCGAAAGAATCTATAGAATCTACATACATTTACATGGCTAAACTTTTAACTGGGTATTTAAGTTCTATTTAATTTCATTTAGTTTCTCTGTTTTACACGTTACAAGACATACTGTTCACATGTCTTACTGTTTGCTTGTCCAGTTTTATGTCGTAATGTGTTGTTCGTAATAATGTGTATTATTCCTAATTGGGGTCCCTACTCGACAAGCACTGCTTCTAAGGGACCCCATATATGTTCTTTCGTCTTTACTACATACTAAAATTTATGTGGAAAATAAAGAATGAACGAACATCGCAGAGGTGTTTTTCGGTGGCTTATGTGAAAGGGCCTTAATAAGGACAAGACCTACACAACCAGATGGACAGCTTTCTGTTAGTTTAGGCCTCAGCATTCTTTGACGTATTTGACATCAGCTAATTCACAACATGGTCGTTTTTGTCAAGTCTTTTCGCCACCATTTTTGCCGCATACACATACGCATCTTGTGTTAGTTACATATTTTAATTAAATGGCCAGCCAAACCCAACAAATGATTTTATTGTGACTAAGCTAATGGAAGGTGCTCGGTAATTACTGCCAACAGCCAAATGTAGAGTACCACTTACCTTTGTTTTTTTCATTATGAGTCAGTCTTGTTTCGGGCAGCATTCTTGGCTGGTGTTTTTGGCTTCGTGAGAGTTATAGAATTCATTTTATTCCAAAAAACACATACATTGAGGGGTCTTAGACTTCTAATGACATCCAATTTGGCAGTTAGGGCATACAACAGCCGTCTGTCACCACTGTATTTAGTTGCTCAAGATATAACAAGCATGGTCTTCCAAAATCTATTCAGTCGGTATCTAGAAATATGATTCCTTGCTTGGTCTCCACATTGTTTAGTAAGACCAAACTCCAAAAGCCATTTTTCTGTCATTTCAATAGTCATCCCCTGACACAGATCAGTTTAATGCAGTGTTACAGAAAGGAGTGAGCCTGGCAGGGCTACAGCACCTGCACATATGTGGTCATTCCTTCCGAAAAGGTGTAGCGTCATTAGCATCCTCACACAGTGTGTCGTATAATGACATTGAATAGCTGCATTGGTCACAGGCAGTATTCATCTTGTTTTCATACACTCACTGTGGGCCTGAAAGCCATCTTTTTCATGTAGTTAGCTGTTTTGGTCATCGGCTGAAACAGATTTTGTTTTCGTTAACATTTTTTTATTTTTATTTTATTTTGTTAATTTTTTTTTCAAATTTTTGCCATCGATAAATAACACAGGACTGTTCGGCACATGATTTCTTGGTCCTGGCTGTGGGCCGATTTCCTTCAATCCTGGCACATTGTTAGCCTAACATCTGAAGATGTATGCTGAATCATGACGTCATCATCTGACTTATTATAGAATTTGAATATTTAATTTTTCCCCTTATGTTTTGTACATGCTTTCAATGAAAATTTTGGTTGTTCAGCAATCTTCAAATGTCATTAAAGTTAAACGAAGCAAAGACCTCGAAGCAAAGGTAATACTATGATAATTATGTCATGATGACGTCACCAAGTGATGTATTATTCAATTTGAATATTCAGATATTACGTTAATGTTGTTAGAATCCATATAAAATCAACCATGGCTTCCTGCAACATTCTGTTTGTGGCAAGTGCCAGCATAAATTGAGTCTTCAATTCCTCTCGTGCGGGTCAAATCACGTGACCCTTCCTTCCGGTCGAAACCGAAAGTTGGCTTATTATTTAAAAGTGGTAATGGGTATCAAGTTGTTTCCAATGGTGTTATAGTCTTCTTGAAATCATCTACTGATGATTTCACGTAATTGTTGAGCACCCTCTAGCAACAGGTTGAAAATTTTTAAAAATGAATTTTGAATAGATGTCTGTGGCAAAGTTCGGTGGAATCACCTGAAAATTGATGTGTATGATGCTCTTTTCCCAGTTAACACATGTGTGAAAGTTGGGGCCGTTGACGTCATCATACCGGAAGTTATGATAAAAAGTCCTCTTACTCTTCACAATTTAGTAAAAAATCAACCATAAAAGATTTCAGAGTGAATTTTCAATTAGATTATAGTTGAAACATTGAAGTGAAGTGCATAATGGTGTACGTCTTCACACTGATGAAGCGCTGACGACAAAATCCGGCCTTAGAAAATTTACGAACCTAAAAATCCCATTTGCATACTGTGCATTGGCTATTGTGTGCGTGGACGCAATCTGCCAGTAATATAGGCAGTGTACAAAGTGCAGAGCTGGCAAAAGGCCAAACACATGGCGGGTAAAGCGTTGGAGCATGTATTGTCATGCTCTACTGTAGCACGGAGGAGAGTGGTCCCATAGAAATTTTGAACTGCAGACTTAACAGCTGTTCGATGTGCCCGTTCCAACTTCGGTTTTCATCAAACCAAAAGAGTTTCCCGAAACAGCTCACTATTTGTCTGCTGACAAACACAGCATTAGTCTCATCCCATTTGTTCAGCTATTTATAGTGTGACACCTCAGGCATGGATGATTTATTGGAGTACTTATTTACACTACCGTTTCACACAAAAAGTGTAATTATTTTGATAAAATAAATTCATAGTTTTGGCCTCTTCCCAATCAGCAATAAAGCCAAAATGTCAAACAATCAATCCTTGGGCCAAATCGCAATGCGCAGCAGTTAGTGTTTTCTGCTTACAATGTCCTCAATTTGTGTGATAAAAGGGGTACTCTTGTCCAGTCATGGGAATGACTTTTTTTGTGAAGAGGAGAATCTTTTACAGTGTATTATTTCCTTACTGAACATATAATGTAAGCTGTTTCAGCTTGCCTAATTTGGCTATCCTGTCCCTTGTTGGTGTGTTCATTGTTTGCATTTGGCAATTTTTTTTAAGGGGCAGACAGCCATTATCTTTTTTATTATTTGAAGAGACAATTTTGGTGTGATCTTTAATGTACAATTGTAATCAGTGTCTTCTTGTGTTCTAAAGCTGGCACAGTAGCTGTAGCCTTTGCAAGTTTCATGGGCTATTTTTCCCCCCGAGTTTGTACATAGGAGGAAATGCAACTGTGTAATGTTTGTCACAATATTATATGGACACATACATGTATACATACCTGTAGCCTCGGCCCAGTTTGCCCATCATGTCGTATCCAGCAGTGATGAATGATGAATTAGTCATTTGGCTATGGCATGAACACAAGCTTTTGTAGACAGCAGTGCCTTTTCAGTTTGATTCTGAGTATAGACTAATTGAAGAAGACACCATAAATGTGGTGGCACTTTACCTACAGTGCATTCTTTTACTTGATGTGTGCATGTATTTGGCAAATTACCACTTCCTATTGGGCTAAGAGGCATATAATAAATGCACACCACCTGTCAGTGAGCATAGTGCCACCACATTATGGTTTCTAAATCTGGTCAGCAAATCATATGCACAAAAGATGTATTGCTGGCATTTCCATGGTTTCTCAGAGGCTGTTTTTGTTATTTTAATTTAGTTACCACCAATGCACAAACTGTTTACCCGCACCTATCCCAGTGATACAAAGCTCTTTTGCCCTCTGTGGAGGCGTTAGGGGATAACCCCATCAGTGTATATGTATGTCTAACAATTCACTTGCAAACTTTTGTCATTGTCAGATGCATGCTCAAGTGAATTCAACAATGTACAGTGACAGTTAAAAATAATTGCTGATATCACCCTCATGCATTTAATGCTTAACAGGTACAGATGTTTTATCGTCCACATTTGATGATGATGACCCAAGTAAAGAAAGAGAAGCTGAGATGCTGCTGGACTATATTGAATATTTTAATGAGTTGTTTGGAGAGGGGAACTATAAAGATGCTGCAATGCATGCTGCGAGTAGTCCAAAAGGAATACTGAGGAACTCTGAGACTCTTTCCCGATTCAAAGGTAAGATAAATTCATTGCCTTGACTTTAGACAATATGGTTTTAACCACTTGCTGCCGGGTGCTTTTTTTTAACCATTATATGCACTGCCGGGCGGTTTTTTCATATTTTCGTTTTTCAAAAATCTTCAAAAATTCATAACTTTTTTTC